AAATGGAATTTTCTCCTTTGTACAGCTTCCGATTCTTGAGTGACTTGCCATATGCAGTTTGGCATTCGCAATCAACTTGAGCATCTCGTGGCCGGTTTGGATCCAGAAAAGTTTGTGACCCACCCTCGCCGCCCTTGAGTAGTACCAAACTCGGGCTTCGCCACAACGTGTTTGAAAGTGTCACTCGATGCATGCGAGACTTGAATGCTGCTGACACGCGTTGCATTCCTACACGGGGGCCATGAAACTGGTTGCTTCGGCAGCCCTGCGTGCCGTAAGTGCGATGGCACTCCCTGTTGCCTGTAGGCAGAGTCTGAATCCAGAGTGAAGGACCCTACACACATCCGCGAAAAGAGGCAGGGTCGTCCGAGTGCATTTGCATCACATGCAGTCTTTGACATGTCAGTGATTCCTTTCCCTTGGCATTTGATTTTCCCTTTACCCTAATTCCTGCCACCCTAGAGCCGCTGCCTTTTGGTTCAAACGACGGGACAATGCTGAGTGTTTCCAGGCGCTTGGTATCATGGTTGATTTGCATGCATGCCTTGATGGCACCATAAGCTTCAAGAACACTGCAAAGCGGGTTTCCGAGATCAAGGCGTTTGTGGGCAAAGTGCTTGAGTCAGGTAGGTTGCCGCATCACGAGGCACTCAGGCTCAGAGGCAGGTGCCAGTTTGCCGACTCGCAAATCTTCGGCCGTACTGGAAAGAAGTGTTTGGGGTTGATCACCGCGCATGCTTACGGCTTTGACGAGGTCATCAGTCGTGAACTCAGGACCTCTCTCGAGAGGTTCTTGCTTCGTCTTGAGGACGGGGCCCCGCGTCTGATCAAGATCCTTGAGGGAGGATCGTGGCATGTGTACACAGATGCTTCGTATGAACCAGGGGCAGGAAATAGTTTCTGCGGCCTAGGTGGGGTTTTAGTGGATCCTAATGGGTCACCTCGAAAATTCTTTTCCTTCGTTTTGAGCGAAGCACAGAACAATTTTCTTGGGGAGCAGAATTCTGCCCAGATCATATTCCAGGCGGAGATGCTAGCAATGGCTGTGGCGCTAGACGTTTGGTTGGAGGACTTGACGGGGCACACGGCAATCTTCTTTGTGGATAATAACGGTGTGCGTGATGCAGCTATCTCTGCAAATGCCCGAGCATCAGTCGCTAGGAGACTTCTTGAGTCGTTTCTTCAGAAAGAGCATAGCTCAGCGATCATTCCTTGGTTCGCCAGGGTACCATCCCCTTCGAACCCGGCGGACGAACCGTCCCGGGTGGAGTGCGACAGCTTGAACTTGTTGGGGGTGAAACTCCTCAGGTCGAATGTCTCTCGGAGAGTGGACAACTGCTTGAAGGACGTTCAGGGTCTTAAGTAATAGGACTAAGTTGGGGGTGAATGCTAGCAGGGCCCCTCGCTGAGGGCTGCAACTCCCTGCTGTAGTTAGGTATAGTCTTGTGCCAAAGGGCATGCACCGCGGATACGAAGATGTGCCGACCGGCACTCGCAGATCACTTACTCCCAAAGTCACCGAAGGAAAAAGTCCGACGTTCATCAGTGCTTCAGTGTGCCGTTTCGCTTAACCTTGCAGCTCAGTTCGGTGTTCCTAAACCTTTCAGCTTACTGTGCGACTAAAGTTTTGCGACCTTTAACTTTTGCAGCTGTTTGGTCCAAGTCGTTCGGCTCAAGAGAACCACACAGTCTCGCTCCGAGATAGTGGATTCTCTTGAGCCCGGACGAAGGCCCTCGCGTGGGCCGCCTTGGACCATTCTTGAAAAATGACATGCTTTACAATTTTGCATTTTCTTCGTGTGCCCTTTTCTTGATTTCACTGAGCGACATGCATTTCCTTCCGACTGCAGTGCGCGAATCACTCTCTTGATGATTGCAGTGCGAATGCTCAAGCTGAGCAAAAATTTTGTCCCGCCCACCCGCCCGGGGTGAATGCTAGCAGGGCCCCTCGCTGAGGGCTGCAACTCCCTGCTGTAGTTAGGTATAGTCTTGTGCCAAAGGGCATGCACCGCGGATACGAAGATGTGCCGACCGGCACTCCAGCTCAGTTCGGTGTTCCTAAACCTTTCAGCTTACTGTGCGACTAAAGTTTTGCGACCTTTAACTTTTGCAGCTGTTTGGTCCAAGTCGTTCGGCTCAAGAGAAATATATGTCTGTGCGGTAGGCCGCACTTTTATATATTGCGATTCGTGTTTGCTTTTGGGTTTTCTCACGAACGGAATAAGGCTCTTTTCACTTGTGACTTCCTTTTATTCCGAACGTGAGCAAAAGGCAGGGAAGCCTGCCGCCCCATAACAGACAGAATCGTTTGATCATGTTGGAAATTTTGAAAGAAGTTTTCAACCCACCAACATGTTTATTTTCCTGATGTTTCACGAAGCTTTATTTTACCAACTCGTGTTCTTTTGTGGGAAGGGGCGCGGAGGGTCACTGAGCTTCCACATATCCGAAGTGTCGGCTTGTGAGGACACGAGTTGGCAAAATTTTGACCCGCCCACCCACCCCACGGAGTGATGCAAAAGTTGCCAGGGGCGGCAACGAGTTTAAAAAGCGTCGGAAAGGATCGGCTAAGGCTAAGGAAGCTGGTCGATGACGGCGGTTGCATCTCGTGGATCTCTGTACCGACCCCCGTCGTTATGCACTTGTGAGAAAGAAACACTGCGCGAGCGATCGGTCCTCTGATTACAATATCTTTGCGATGGGAATTTTTGAAGTTATATATATATATATGTCTGTGTGGTAGGCCGCACTTTTATATATTGCGATTCGTGTTTGCTTTTGGGTTTGCTCACGAACGGAATAAAAAGAAAAGCGAGGGCGAGAAAAGGCCGAGGAGCCAAAGGAAGAGCCAGCGAAGGCCGAAGAGCCAAAAGAAGAGCCAACAAAGGCCGAGGAGCCAACGGAAGAGCCGCAGAAGGCCGAAGAGCCGAGAGAAGAAAAAGAAAAGGACGATGAGCAGGAGAGCTCGGAGAAAGAACAAGAGGAGAGCTCAGAGAGAGAAGAAGAGGAGAGCTCGGAGAAGGAAGAAGAAGAAGAGAAAGGAACAAAGAGAAAGAAGGACGACAAGGAGTCATCCGACGAAGAGTTTCAAGAGATTATGAAGAAGTTTGCGAAGAAGTCGGTGACGAAAGAGGAAGAGAAGGTCCGGGACATTCTCGGAAAGATGAGGGATCTTCAGGCGAAGATCGATGAGAAAAGGAAGAAGTTTGCGGTCTACAGCGACCACTATGCCTACAGGCAAAAGCAGAAGAAGTTGAAAGAGGAAGAGAAAGATCGCCTCATCAAGAAGGAGGCTGAAGTGCAAGAGGAAATGAGAAGGGTTGCCGAAGAGGCATATGTGGAAAAAGAGATGATCGAAAAGCAGCTGGAGAAGATCCGGAAAGAAGAAGAGGAACAAGAGGCCGAAGCAACGCAGGTGATGGAGGAAGAGACTGCGCTTATGGCAGAGATGGATGTTATGCGGCCAAGGCTTGCACAAGCGTTGAAAGAGCTGCGCGAGAAGCGCAAGGAGATGAAGCTTCCGGATGAGAAGCTGGAGTTAGGTGAAGACGAAAAGAAAGTGTTGGAAGAGTTCGAAAAGAGAAAAGCTAAGGAGATCAAAGTGATCAAAGAGGCAAAGGAGAAAGAAGTGAAAGAAGAATTGGAGAAAAAGGAGAAGGAGCTGACAGAGCTCAAAGAGCAAAAGGAGAAGGAGCTTGCAGAGCTAAAGGCAGCAAAGGAAAAAGAGGTGAATGAGTTGAGCGAAGAGTTGCGGAAACTCAAGAAGAGAAAGAGTGTAAGTGCTGCGCCTCCCCGAGACGAAGAGAAAGAAGAAGAGCTGCGCAAAGTGAAAGAGGAAAGAAAGAAGATGAAAGAAACGATCAAGGAGCTGGGTAAAGGAAATCAAAAGTTGGAAGAAGAGTTGGAAAAGATAAAGGAACGCGAGCGCGTTGAGGAGGACCCAGAGGCAGCGACCGCACGGGTCGTTTGCTCTCTGTGCTCGAGGTTCGGGCACTCAGCAGATGTTTGCTGGGACGGCGACTTTAACTACCACAATGGACAGTACCAGCCGATATGCCAAAGAGATGGTATGACAAAAGAGGATTTTGCGGTTTGGTTTCGCAAAAACGAGCCTGTGGTGAGGCGTGCTTACGCAAATTCACTAGAAGCTTCGAAGAAGAAGTACAGAACGGACAATCCTGGTAAAGGAAAGGGAAAGAAAGAGCAAAAGAGTTGAAAGGAAAAAGAGAAGAGAAAAGAAAAGAAAGAGACCGTACCTCAGGTCTATAAACAAGGAGGCAGGAGAAAAGAGAGAGACCGTACCTCAGGTCTATAAACAAGGAGGCGGGAGAAAAGAGGAAGACCAATCCTCAGGTCTATAAAGAAAGAGGCATTTGAAGAAGAGGGGGTAAAGCATCCCCGAACCCCCCAAGGAAGTTTGCAGCACAGCTGCCGAAGAAGTTTCACAAGCGATCCGACTTAGTGTTGGATAGCGGTAAATCCGTTGATGAGGAAGTGAGTTCTTTTGTGGCGAAAGCCAAAGAAGTGAAACGAGGTAAAGAGCTTAGTGAGAGCGGCCGTAGGTGTAGCTCTTGTCTCTGACGTTTCACAAAACACGAAGCAGTGCACCACAACGTGTTTAAAAGAGAAGTGAGCGACTGTTTTGGGTTCGTAGCACCTCTAAGAAGGAAAAATGTGAAAAGAGGCTGCAACGAAGAGGGGGTAACAAACATTTCGCGTAGGAGTGTGTTGCCCTGTAATCCTGCAATTGAGCTGGTTGCCACATGTTTTGTATAGCTTGGAACAAATGTTCCACTGTGGTGTTTAGGCTCAAGGGAAGCACCCGAGACAGTCCGTGCTCCCAAGGAAAAGTGACGAGCGAATATCTGTGTTCGGTGAAAGGGTTTGGAATGTACCCGTAAAGCGTTTTATCAGCTCAAGGAGAGCCTGACCTTCCTTCGTGAGCGAGTCGCCTTGGCAAACCCCGTGTGGCGCATGCTGACTGTAGACCCGTGTACCACATGTACCCTGATGCCTCTTACGATGCATCAGGCGGCGGTTTAGACGACTTTAATGGCCTGTGCATAGGCTGGTTCGGCGAGCCTGTTTCCCATGCTGTTCTTCAAGGCATCAATCCAGAAGGAAAGAACACCCTCATCTACGAGCTTGAAGTCTTGGCGGCTGTTCTTGGTTGCGAGCTCTTGCTGTCCACTTTAAGGCCGTGCGACATTGTTCTTTTCACGGGCAGTGAAGCTGCCCTGTCGGCTTTGATATGCGGACGTTCCGATTGTGCTTTTGTTCAGCATGCTCTAAACCGTCTTTTCGATCTGGAGGAGGATCGCAGCTTGAACGTTTGGTTTGAAAGAGTTTGCAGTGCGAACAACCCTGCAGACGCGCCTTCAACTGGCTCTTACCTGCTGCTTGATTTCCCAAGGCATCGCTCTTCTGTGAGCCGTGTGCTCTCCGAGTTCTGTGCCTCGTCGACTGGGGCCCCGGCACTGGACTCTTCCGAGCTTCCCGCCGTGAAAAAGAAAGAGTGCTGCTTCCTCTTTTTGTTATTTGAATATATACTGGGTTTGATTAACATTTATATGCAAGCTTTCCTGCTTTATACTTTCGTTTTTACACACAACAAAACGTAAAGGATAAGAAACACTTCGACCAGCGGTGGACGGGTCCTTTTCCTCAAATTTTGTGGGCAAGTTTCCCTTGTCATTTTATCTTTTCGATTTTATTTCGCATGTCATGGTTTTCCCATACATGTTCTCCTTTGGCATGTCTTTGAGAAAAGCTTTCTCCAGTCGCAATCTGTCCATCTATTTCGATGGTGGTTTCACACACTTTCTCTACCCTGCCGTTCCCCGGCATTGGACTCTTCCGAGCTTGCCACCGCGCAAAAGGAAGAGCGCTGCTTCTTGTTTTTATGATTTGCATATATACTGGGTTGGATTAACATTTATATGCAAGCTTTCTTGCTTTATACTTTTGTTTTTACACACAACAAAACGTAGAGGATAAGTCATTGACAGTTGCGCCCTACACTTCGTGGACTGTCATCGTGGGGCTGGGCAGATTTCTGCGCCGCTTGGGCGGAGTCCAACTCGAGTGCACATTGTGCCAAAAAACCATGCACGCCCTCATGAAGCGGCGCACCCTTTAGAAAGCATGGAGATGGAAAATTTATAGTTGAATGTTGTACAGCGGTATAGATGCACCTGCAATTCCGAAATGCCAACAAAACAGCTGGTTTTTCGGGGACTGAAGATGTTGCTACCAAGATTGACAGCGGGAATCCCCAACCTTGTAATCCGAGACGCGCTGCATTAGACTAGATACTTTGTTCCCAGTCAGCAGTTGAAAGGCAGCGAAAAACACATACGCTGTATTGCAGCTTTTCGGCACAGGCACGGAGGATGACCTAGTACAAAGCTCGTTCCTGGTCGCCATGACGTGCTTGACAAAGGCATCACAGACGCCTTTGCAACACTTTGCAACGTCTTTGGTTGAAGCGGAGGAGCTTGCAAAATTGTGGCTTGTTGCAATAGCCCTGTAATCTTAATGCAACAACGAACCCCATGATGACATAAGAATTTGCGCAAGTTAAAGATTACAAACTGCAACATGTTTTGATGCTCATGTGTAGACATTGATCCTACCGTGCATGTGTAATTACGGATCTTACAATTGCATGGTTTCACAATGCTGTGGACTTGCATGCTGAGGGATCCAACCATTCACCGGGTTGCCTGCTGCTGCAACCAACGCGCGTGATCCGACAGTTGTCATCAGTTTTGTTGCAATATCCTAGTCTTCAGAAGCTATCCAGTAGGAAACTGTGAGACTTCTGTTGTTGTTCTGTCATGTTTTGCCTGTAGGACACTGTCGTGGGTGGTTGTGGCAGCCCATCTCTTGTCCATCTGTTGGATGATTACCGATGCTCCATTTCTTCTTCACTGCTCCCGACAACATGATATCTTTTCAGTGTAAACAGAATCATTGAAACGTAATCATGGCATAGTGATCCGATTACCCCGGCGTGAAGTACACTATCCTGGAGTCCGGTCGTACAGAGTGCCCAGAGTTGTCAGGTTTCCTATGTACACAACTCCGCTGGAGGTGCTGCTGCAGATGTCTGAAGTCAAGCCACATGAAGAGTTGCTTCAAGAAGGATCGCTAAGCATATTTGATGATGCCAAGGGCAAAGCCATGTTTGTTTCCCACCAGTGGCTCACCAAGCTCCACCCGGATCCCGAGTTCAAGCAGTTCCCGGTTTTACAGCAGGCGATCAGAAACATTCGCTCAGGCGCAACAAGGATTCGAGTGGAAGCAATCAGTGAGTTTACTTTCGGTTCCAAAGAGGCCACGTCGGTAACACAGTTGCTGGCAGAGTCCAACGATATCTTTGTGTGGTACGACTACTTCTCCTGTCCGCAGCTGGAACACAAACTGAAAGGTGAGGCCTGGCTGAAGGAGACAGCTGGTGGCGAGCTTCGAAGAGCTGTGGACAGCATCCCTGCTTATATCACGCATTGCCAGGCCCCGGGGCTTGACACATAAACCAAGTGGCTGCCTGCTTGCCCGTCTGCCTGCCTGGCTGCCTGCGTGCCTGCCTGCCGCTTTCGACAATGGGAGTGTTTCGCACCCTGAGGTCTTCTTGGCCTTGTGCCCCGTGGTCGCGAGTGCAGATGGTGTTTCGCTTGGACCAAGCACTTGGAACGAAAGAGGCCGCCACAGTTGAACCCATCTTTCGCAAATCGCTACTGCTGCCTCCATGCTGTTACAAGCGAAGCAGGGTTCGTTCGTTCCCACAATTTAACCGAACCTTGGCTCACCCGGAACCCTACAGTCTCAATCCATCTAGCCGAAGCAAAAGCCTGCAGACTTGAACCAGGCTGGTGTCGCGTTGAGCAGATGATGCGAGAGCTGTCTCCGGGCAGTGGCGCATGGGTCATCGCTACCAGGTTCCTTTAGATCCTGTGTTCCTGGTGCTTCTTGGGTTGGAGCTTAGGGTTTTTGGGTTTTAGGCCGTTGAAAGTCCTTTATCTCGAGAAGCCGTAAAGTGCTAGAACTTCTTCGTAGCACCAGCACCACTCTGAACCCAGGTCAAAAGCGCCATGCACCTGGAGGTCAAGTTCCTTGGTCGCTGCTCCCCCGGGGAGGGTGAGTTTACCGTGGAAGGACCCATGTTGAACGCCGCAAAGTTTCGTCGGCGATGTAAGTGTTTATTACGGGATGGCTTGGCCTGGTGATTGACTACAGTACCTGATGAATTCGTGATGTAGGCTCTAGGCACCAGTGTCAGCAAGAGGCGTACGGTGGTTGGTAGATTCCTAGTAGTCAGTAGTTCAGAGCCAGATCCTGCAACGTGCGGCGGAAAGGAGACCGTGCCCGGGTGGCCCCCATCCTCCGAGATGCTTTGAGGACGCTCGCGGGTTGTTTGCTTGGCAGAGAGGCTTGCGAGGGATCTGGCATTTCGGATTTGTTTCAGTGTGGGTGTGGATCTGCTGTCAGAGTGACAAAGGGGCGTTCAAAAGTTAGGACTGACCTTGATTGCCTTTGCTTCCCTGAGGAGCAAGCTTCTTGCTTGCCTGCGAAGTGGGCAGCTGTCGACCTACAGGCTCTTCCTCAACGACCCTTGGCGGCGCCAGGCCAGGATTGCGGGGATTTCGCTCAGGAAGTTGAGGATGACCTGGTTTTAGCAGGACGTCGGTTCGCGACGCCGGCCAGTTTCTGCAGAATATATCTCAAGCGTGACACTGATCCTGACGTCGAGAGTCTAAACCCTCACCATCCTCAAACCCTAAAATCTCTACAGGCCCAGGCCTAGAGCCTGCAAGCCCTGACTTTCCCAAAGCTCCTTAGGGCCCCTAAAAGGGGGCCCCTAAAGTTGCCCCAAAAAGCCCAGCCGAGGATCAGGCTTCCAGGTTCCGGGGACTTCCCGCGGAGCCGGTCGGCAGCCTGGTGAGCGACGAACGCGAAGGCGACGAAGTCCTGCAGGACCGGAGGGAAGTCACGCAGTTTCTTTGGGCACCCTTTATGACCACCGGATGACATGTCTGAAACCATAGCGAAGCTCTTGCGAAAGATGGGGTTTTTGCGAGACGTCACGGAACCGTTCATGGCAATCCAGGATGAGGATGAGTCGGAGCTTTTGGTGGAGTTTTTTCGCCAAAATGGATTCCGCCGAGCTCTGGAGAGAGATGCAATGGGTTGGTCTCCAATCTGCTATGCCGCGCTACAAGGTGCCCCAGACTGCAAATACTTACGAAGTGCATATCCTCGTTGCTTAGGGGGCAGTTGGCCGTTGTTGAGGGCTTAGATCCTGGAGACAAGGTGACCCGCGCTTGATTGCAGGGTTATTGGCCCAGCGTGCAAGTCCGAATGATGAAGTCAAAAAGGCCTGGGCAGCGGCAGGGTTGTCACCAAGATGCCCTGTACTCAGCATTTGCATCTCCAGCGGGGGGCACGACTCCATGAAGATCTTGCTCGAAGCCAGGGCCTGTGCAGATGTCAAGGGCATCCAGCAGCCGCCTATACTCATGGCATGTGCTCACAACGACACGAAGGCAATTCAGATGCTGTGCCACTTCGGTGGCAATCCCTTCTTGAAGCAGTCCTTCGGTTGGACGCCCATAAACATCTGTGCAGCCTTCTCAAAGATGGACTCCCTCGAAGAGATGATCCGCCAGCAAGGAGATGCCGTCGACCTCTCGAGCTCGTTGATCTACAAGGCCGCCATCATGGGAAGCTCACTTCCCTGCATCAGTCGACTCATCGACGCGAGAGCTGACTTGAATGAACAGTCTCTTGGATTGATTTAGACAAAAAAATGTCAGGGGTCCTTTGCAATCAGTCCTTGGGGGCGATCGTATTTTGAGCCGAAAGTGCTTCCCCAAAGGTATGAGCCTTCTGCCACAGATCCACTGGGCCTATTGATGAAGCTCAAAGGTTTGCAGTACCGGATCAGCAAGGTTCCCAGCATCTTCTCCACCGTTGGATACCACCATTATGGCTCCACGCCCCTGATGGTTGGAATAATGTGTGGCAACTTTGAGACCGCAGTTGCGCTCATCATGAAGAAAGCGCGCCTCGACTTGAAGAATGTCCGCGACAAGACAGCCATCGACCTCGCACACGAGCTGCAAGCCCCCGATTACCTGGTCAGCGCTCTCCAGGAGCCTGGAAGTTTAGAAGCGAGACAGCCAGTCGGCAAGTCGATGCAGCCCAATGATTCACAGGAATCCATGCAAGTGCACCATCTCTAGTTGCCCGATGGATGCTGGAAGTGGTGCTTCGGCGGGCGAGCTTCGTCCTTTTCCGTGTGATTGTGCAGTGGACACATCTCGTGTTCTCGTCCCGTCTGGTTTTGCAGGCCTTCTCTAAGGGAACGCTTGTTGATATCCCGCGTGAGATCCACGGGTTACGCAGATTGATTCCCAACTGCATGGGACAAATCCCAGTGGCCTGGCACACAGGGTTGCCCATGGGTTTTTTGTGCATCGCGACTTGGTGATGGTCGGTTGACTTTACATATGTCGTCAGAGATCCTCGCTAGCGCAGGTCTTGCACTGAAGCGATCAAAAAATCCGTTGAGTGCAGACTTTGTCTAATTCCACCAAGAGGCCTCGTCGAAGCTTCACTTGCGTGTGCTGATTGCTGCAATGTTTGGCTTCTGTCCGAAACACTGCAAAGATTCTGTTTGGCTTAGTTCACTCTCGCAGACAAGCCACAACACGTGGACGCCATGAGTTGCGTCCGGCAGCTCATCGACCTGTGGGAGGCGACAGTGTCAGAGGGCCGGTTGCACAAAAGAGCCGAGAGCACAAAGAAGCTCAATCGCAGGACTTCCCGAACATCCACAGGCAGGTGTGGACGTTGGCGCAGATTTCAAGTGCAGTGTAAAGTTGCACAAGGCAGCGGCACTTGAAGCACCCTGAAAGGTCGCACACTTTCACTTTCCGTGTGGAGGCAGGGAAGCCGCGACAGTTCTCTCGTGCAGTCAGGGGCAAAACATCTCTCATCACTCTTTTTTGTTGCTACTCGACCTATCTCGGATTTGGCAGTATGTGCGAACGGACTGCGATACCCAGTCAATGCTGTGGTGTCACGATAAGAGCTATGAGCTGTGACTTGTAAAGTCAAGAGCGCGGGAACGTTTCACGTACCTCGACTCTAAGTGGATGCCTGGGGAACGCTTCGCGTACCACAGTGCTACACTGTACATTCATATGCCGCCGATGCAACGTTGGCTCAAGAAACCGATGCTATAAGCTTAACTTAGCTTATTGTCTTCTCTGACTTTTCTGAGGAACAGAGCCATCCCGAGCACAGACGATTCATCGCCGATCACAAAGGTGAAAACAAGCGAGCTCTGAATTTGCTGCCAGGGACAAGGGTCTGAACGTGGACGTGAAGGTGATAGATTGTCGAGTCTGTTTAGGGCAGCCACACTCACATTCATTAGCTCGGTGGGGTGAGCGACAAGGAACATCATCAAGATCAAAATCCCCACGCAGGTTATCAGCCGTAGGCTCCGCCTACCAACAGCAAAGACTACTTGATCTACCACGACCACGATGAACTCTGGGTCAAGTCAAGATACGACAATGACTTTCGGTGCCGAGATGGCAATGCCGGCAATCGGTGATTCAACCGCCGATGACACCGTGGTGCAGTCCGTTGACAGCTCCACTGGGGATGACAAAGGGCAATCCTCAGCGCTTGCCATCACAAAGGCACTCCCCAAAGCGAAAGCAAAGGCTACTTCGAGAGCATTCACGCCTTCTCGTCCAACATCCGCAGGATCAAGGACAGCAAAGGCAGTTGACCGACGCTCTGAATCATCCGGTTATCAGATGATGAGGACGCCGTCGAGGGTAAAGGACAGAGGAGTTAAGACAGTGGACAAAGTGTCGAAACCATCATCTTCGAGGAGTTCGGCTGCGAGATCAAGGACATCGACCGCAAGGGTGAGGGAAAGGTCCATGACATGGAAGAAAATGGTCGCGAACCATCCACAGGATCCCGACGATGAGGATATGACCTTGGAAACCATACCGGTTCGTGGTGATGCATCGTCGGCTGCAACCCCTGCTATTGCCGATGATCCAAGTTCACATCACGCGATGACCATGCAACAACAGCTCGAAGCTTCCAGCATCGCGCAACAGATGTATTATCGGAGTGAGGTGCAGAAGTATGAGAGCGTTGGTCAAGCTTTGGTGGAAAAGATCAAGGAGATGCAACAAGAAGATGAAGGATCTGGAATTCGCATTGAAGAGTTGGAACGGCAACGTGACAATGCGTGTATGGCCATGCGGCACATCAGCAGCGTCAACCAAGAAATGACGCGAGACGATGAAGCCGCATTGTTTCGAATGGATGAACAGAACTCTGCTCAACAACGCCAAGGACACACGGTCGCTGAGGAACTTGCTCAGCAGTTGCACATGGTTCGCAGCAAGGCAGCTACCAGTTACGTGCAGCTCGAAACTGTCAAACAGGACCGTTTTGTGAGTGTACCTTGTACAGTGTAGGGCCCTTGAGTCACGCGGGTCGAACCGGAGGGAACCGGAGGGGCGAAAAGAGGGATCCGATAGAATAGAATCTTTGCTAGGGTGGTTTGTCTAGGATGTGTCCTTGTATGTCGTTGCTCTTGTCTGGCGTGTGAGGACTCGTGTTGCAGGAGCGCTCGTCTTTGCAGTGTCCGGGAGTGGTGGCATGCAGATGTTGTCGTGTGTTGCGAGGCAGGCTAGGCCAGGGAGTCTCTGGGGAGTGCGGAGTGCCTGGATAGTGCGGCATGTTCATACTTGCAGCTGTGTGTCTGAAGCACAGTGATTGTGGTCGTACCGGTGTGTAGACCGGGAGCAGCACGGGAGCCGCCTTGATTTTCGATCTTGATCTGTGCTGTTCTGTGCTATTCTGCGCTATGGCGTCCTCCACTGAAAGTGAATCAGACGCAGAAATCGTGGATCTTTCGTTTCAAAGACTCAGATCTTTGGGTGCAGCTTCCGCGAAGGTTTCGTGCAGCATATGGTGCAGTTGGCGGGCATTTGCCAGATGATGCTTACCTAGCCTATATGTTGGAAGACGTGAACGAGTTAGCTGCAGAGATGACTTCATATGTTCCTCAGGATGACCGTCGCAGAGCAATCCAGATTTTCTCAACCTTGCAGTTGAGAGCTCTGCCCCGCGTGCAGCGACGGAACAAGCGTCGTGGTCTACTGGACCCTGCTTGGCAGAAGGTCTCACTAGCTAAAAAGCTCGCATCTTCTAATTCCAGTGAAGTCGCCGGTCTGCAAGACACCTTGTCTTGGCTTGTCAAGCATTCGGGGGCTCGTAAAGAGCGCAATGCTTGGCCGACGCAAGCAGCCCGGACGCTCGCGGACTCTAAGCTAGGGTTGTCCCGGGCAGCTACCGAAAAGGCCGAGCTACAGCGGTGGCGTGCGCAACTTGTGGAGCTCTTCGTTGAAGCAAACACGCCGCTGGTTCGGCAAGCGCAGCTGGCTTCAAGTCCGGAGTCGGCAATAGCTGCGTCACTTGGCAGCATGCGCGCATCAACCATACGCAAGCGGGTGCGTGAGTGGAGAAAGTTGCGCGTCTTTTCCTTGGGACTCAATGCTTGCCCATGGCCAAAACATGTTGGTGCGGTGTTGGACTACCTGCAAAATCGTGTTGCCGAGCCATGTGGCCGCAGTGTTCCTAATGCCATCCTCGAAGCTCTGTCTTTCATGGCAAGGAAGGGCGGCATTGCGGCAGGGCAGCGCTTGGCTGATTTGCCAATTCTGAAGAATTTCGTAAATCAGGCGACGCATGATCTTGAGATCGGGGCACCCCCGACCAAGAAGGCACCTCTTCTCCCCCTGATGCTGGTGGGTGCACTCGAGCTATGGGTGAACGACTCCTCTGCGCCGTTGTTTGCCCTAGGGCTAGCGTTTTACAAACTTTTGAAGCTGTGGACGGCGTGCCGGACGAATGATCTCAGCGGCTTGAATCCAGCGTCGTTGCGGCTCACGAAGTTTGGCGTGCTGGAGCGCACCAAGACTACTGGCCCTGGAAAGCGAGTCCGGCATCTTCCAATCTTCATCGCTGCCTCCGTCGGATTCATGAGTTCGACCTGGCTTGAGCAAGGGCTGAAACTGTGGCTCAGTGAGACCATGTCGTTCGAGTGCGATTTCTTTCTGCCGTTGCCTAACCCGGACTGGTCTGGAGCGCGGCATGTCATGGCCGATTATGCTGATGTAGTGGGTTTGAGTCAGCACTTGTTGCGGATGCTACGTCTTCCCGTGAGGAAAGGCAGTCAATGGATTCTCTCAGATCAGCCTCTTCTTCCGGCGCCAGAGGCACGGACATTCTGGAAGGAGCATTCAGAAAGAAGTTGGTTAACAAGTTTACTCGCAGCATGTGGGGTCGGTGTCGACCAGCGAAACTATATTGGGCGCTGGCGTATAGCATCTTCTGCCGATGAGTACCTCCGTACTGCGCAGCAGGTCATCATAGGTTTGCAGGAGCAGCTTATGGCCACTATCTGTGGCCGTGATCAATGGGACCTCCGCAATGCAGGCTTAGAAAAGCTTCAGCTGTACTTGTGTGACCAGGGTCTTCCGGACGAAGCGGCCAGTCGTTGCGCTTGGACCCTCACTGGTTTACACGTGTCCCCGAACCCGTCGTAGCAGTGCAGGTTGAGCTTGAACCAGAGATTGTAGAGTCGGAGGCAGCGCCAGAGGAATTCGGCACTGAGCCTGCGCCGTACTTTGTTACAGTCGTGGGAAAGAAGAGACTTCGTCGCTTACATCGGCAAGGTGGCTGTGGAGTCAGCCTGATAGAAGTTCAGGAATCCGAGCCGGTTTGGCGCTTAAGGGCACGAGCTATGACAGCTATGATCTGGCGTGCCGGCATTGCTGGCGTTCCGGCGATTCTTCTGTGTCGGAGGCAGGAGAAGTGGATGACTCGGGCAGCTCCGGTGAGTCGGACGGTCTGGCAGAGGCAGCAGAGGATTGACGGAAGCTCCAACGAGCTTGAGTGTGCGGGCCCCATGGCTCGCGTGCTTAGGTCCTAGGTTACTCGTAGCTGTCGTGAATGCGCGCAGATGAACTCCCTGTGCACATTCACGTTGCTTTTGTGCGAGGTAGTCGCATGTGGTGTGCTCAGTGTGTTCAGCTGAGTGGCGGACGTTTGTGCGAGTTTGTCGCATGCAATTGTATGTGTGTGGGCGTCATCCCACATGACACCGGGCCAGGGCGGGGCCTGGTGTGAGAGCATGGATTTGCTCAGGGACAGACATTGATGAGGGGTATTTGCGCAGCGTTTCCTTGTCTTGAGTCGAGCTTTGTGTTCCAAGCTTGGAAGCTGCGTGCCGCTCGCCCTCTGCAGCCTGTGTCTTTGCGCGAGTAGCAATCATCCAGTTATCGCCTGTAGTTTTGCAGCCATGCCTGCCGACATGTGCAATGCGGATTCTGAGCTGTGCTTTCACACGGAAGAAGCCGGTGTGTCGGCGAAAACCCAAAAGGTTTTCTACGATGCTGGTGTCTCCTCGCTGCGCATGTTCGGCGGCTTGGAAGAGACACGCGAGTCCATGCGAGAAGTGTTTAAGTCCGACTTCGGCTTGGACCCAAGCGGCAACATCGATCTGCGGAAGGAGATCGCACTGCTGCTGTCCGTATGGGAAAGTTCCCGCATGCAGCTTAAGTGCCAAGAGCAGAACCGTCAGGATTCCAAGCTCGGCGTACAACAGCGCCTCGTTCAGAACTCAGAATACGCGGCTATGCGGGCCGCTGTAGAGGCTGCGCAAGGTCGCTCCTTGAAAGACCGCGAGGTGCCCAGCAAATCCCTGATTGCGGCAAAGCTGGAGCAGATCGAGGATGGGGCACCTATCGTAGAGGATTTGCGAGAAGTGACATCTCTGGAAGATGCGCATGTGGAAGCATATGGGGCAGTCATTGATCCTGCCTCCCAGACATTGCGCATTC